TTTCATGTGATTTAAGGACCGAGTCCTTACCGATCCTGCAGGTCCTTGTAAGGATTCGGTCCCAAAAGACCGATTAACATCCCTACCCAAACCCAAGCAGGAAAATATTTTTAGGCCAAAGCCCGGCCCATCTACCAAATTAACTGATGTAAATCAAATAGTAAGTATTTAGAATTTAACTAACCGGTGATACAATTAATTTATATTTATCGTTTAGGTATCATTGATCCTGACGACCAAGCATAACCACCCAAATCAGTTACGTACGAATACATATAATTTGTATTTTTACGGAACTGATTTGGGTGGTTATGCTTGAGGGGTTCATAGATCCTACTAGACGCTTCTTGAATTTTGAGTTCCTGAATCGGATTTTATCAGCGTCTTGGATTAGGTTTAGGACAATGGTCTATATACAAATGCTGCAAATAGAACTTCGGGCTTTCAAAGACCATATTTTATAAATTCAGCTCTGATATGTAATAGCATAATTACATATCATATAAGTAACCAATTGGTAAATTATAAATGATAAATTTGAAAGTCTGAAATCTTATTTTCTATTATAATATGTCATTGGGCCTGTTCACAAAGCCTGGGCCCGACCCGATATTTTAACGGGCCTAACCCGGCCTGGTCCAAATATTACAGCTGTTTTCATAAATTCTGGAAAACCCAGCCCGGCCCACCCCACCCTAGTCCTTAACGCAGAGATTTGTAAATTTATCAAACGAATAGAAAATGCTATATTACTTATTCAAATTAATTTTTTCTTTCATAATTATTTCCTTTACTAAAGACACATTAAGATGTATTTTTGCTTTGGTTTATATTATTAGTTGAAATTTGATTTGTATTATTAGAAGAATTCAGATTACAGAACATTAAATATGCAACTATAGGTCTATACATCTTTTTCACATATAGAAACATTCTCATAATGAAAAATGGTTGGTTTATATCTTTACGTGGTAGAATTAGACTAGGTTTAAAACATAGATTAACAATATATAATATATAATATATAATATACTGTTAGTAAAGTGTAAAAACCTGACCTGTTAATGTTAATAAATTACTGTTAATAAAATCCCACCTATATTGTTCCAATGATCCCGAATCCTGTCAAACCATTCGCCAAGTCTAACATGCCTTTTTCGACCTAAGCCTTATCAATTGGTTATACAAAACCGATTCCACTGATGCTACCGACTTGCTGTTTTAAAACTTTAAAACAAAACCCAACAAGTATAATTTTATTTGTATAAGCTCACTGCTTCAAGAGTTATTGCAGTTTTCACTTTATAATACATTTAAAAAATAGTGATCGTAATTTATTAATTAAAATATAGATATAGTTGCTAAATATGTGGAAGGCAAAACAAGCCACCTGTTTTTTGTAACTTTTTTTAAACTTTAAACTAAAATATCTAAAATCAAACTTGATAAAAATTACGTTCAACACAAATTTTGTTTGTCCCATATAGTAATTTTCACGTAACAAAGCATGTTATAAGTTAATGTTATAATCGAACCCAACCAATAAAATAGCATCTTGTCGATTAGTAGTCTTGGGATTTTTTTCAATTGTATCTCCTTGATATTCATCGAGGAGTTACAATTTTAGAAAATGAAGAAACCTCTTGCAATATAGGTGGCCCCTTTGATAAAATCAATTGATTGTAAAGTGGGGACATTTACACTAAAAGAAATTAGTGAAACATATAAAATAGGTTAATGACATGCATAAATTAGTATACTTAGTAACACATTAGTTAATAAAGTGTGAAAATATATAGTATATATATTTTATAAAAAAATTGGTGAAATTCAAAACAACTTAATAGAAAGGTGTTTCTAATGCTAAAGAATGGACGAAACATTTCTATTTACAGCTTCTTTTTACCAAATAAGTGTTTGAAGTCATAAATTTATTTATGAAGAAATTTTTCCTCTATGATCTGAATAACAAATCGTATTTCCCTTCATACATATGAATTCGGAATGATCAAAAATGGCTCTCTTTGATATTTCCTTTTAGGTGTTAATACAGATGTTAATATTTCAATTGGCTTTGTATTACGTACTAATCTATATCTAATATGTTACCCAAATAGATAAATACTACATTTTCGCGACGAAACGTTCATAATCCTTATTTTAAAGCAATTTTTCCGTTGTCCTCCCAAAACATTCATGCTTTTGTTAAAGTTCAAGTATATAAAAAGAAATTCGTATTAAAGTTTGAAACATATAAAAATACATAGTTCATAAAAATGCATAATTCATACAGGTAATAAAATTTTTGGTTTTTACATTTGAAAGGCATAAAGATAAAAAAAAAAACATAACTGATAACGAATTTTTAAATTAGATATAAGACAAAATGGTTTGTAAACTGGACATCATTTTCACTCATTTCTCAAAATCGGAAGATAAGCCTTAATTTTTTTGTGATGGTTGATAACCTAAATTTATCGAAATATAGAAAATAAATACATTCATTCCTATTTCAATTTCATTAATTGGTCAGTAAACATGCTGAATTAGCATTTAGCAAGTTTGAGTAGCAATTAACATGTTCGACAACCAAATAACAAAACAGCATTCTTTTCTTTAGAAGCAACAACAGAACAGTACTAAGCTTATTGCTATATTTATTAATATAAATTTTTACAAGTTTAATAATCCTTTACAAGTTTGTGCACACTTACGAAAGGTCATTAAAATCCTTTGCAGGTTTGTGCGCACTTACGAAGGGTTATTAAACTTGTAAAAACCTGAGAACCATAAGACGTCTAAGAGAATCTGCCATAAACTTTGTGAGTAAAAAAGAAAACATACACTTACTTATTGAAAGTGCTTTTATATAAGAGCAGTCTTTTTGGATCTTTTTATTCGTACTACAATGTTGGCATGGTTCTTTTCCAATTTTACCTCCAATGCATCTTTTTCTCCGACTTCGGCAGGCATCACATGCAATTGGTTTTCTTATTGTTTTCTTTTTTATTTCTGGGAATGAAGGAGGATTTTGTAAAGATTCTAGAAACTTATTATAGTAATGAGCATCCTTTAGCTGAGATTCTTTTTCATTAATGATAGCATTGGCAACCTTAAGTTGAGTGTCTTTTTCATTGATGATAGCATTGGCATCCTTAAGTTGAGATTCTTTTTCATTAATGATAGCATTAGCGCCCTTAAGCAGAGATTCTTTTTCATTAATGATATCATTGGCAGCCTTAAGCAGAGATTCTTTTTCATTAATGATATCATTGGCAGCCTTAAGTTGAGAGTCTTTTTCATTAAGTAGGGAAATTAACATGGAAATAGTTTCCTGATTTTGTTCTTGGTTCTTAAAGAAGAATGAAAAAAATGAAGAGGTTATTTATAATCAGTTTTCCGATATCGTTCTTGATGGTTCTTTGAGAGGAAAGGAGAAATACACCGACACTGCACACATGGCCTAATCCTGTCATATTCTAACTTTAAAAACTAATGAAGGCCATGCCGTGTTGATAAGGCTATGCTGTACACACGTAATTTTTCCATGTGATGTGTAAAGTACAGAAAGCTCATTTGAATGAAGAAAATTAAATTATCATGTATTCAAAGTTATGATTACATGAAATTCTAATTCACCGAAACTTACACGAAATTATGGTATTTTTACAACCTTAATTATGGACATAGCATTGGTCAGAATTAGAGTTAATGTTATTGTGACGTTTAGTTATTCTGCAGGCTGATGATTTTATATGGTGATATCTACTGTGTATTTATTTATTTTGAAAAAATAAAATAAATATTATAGGAGAGGGTGAAACCTGCACTGTAAATTAGTAAAACCCGCTGTGTAGATCACGCTAGGGTGAAATCCGCGTTTAGCTATCGCTATGTTTTTTATTATGCAAAAGCGGATTTCACCCTCAAGTGATCTGTGTAGCGGATTTTACCCTGTCGTAATATTACCGCAGAAAATCATTAGTCCTCTTGTTATGTCCATAAGCACGTTAATGTTATGTCTGCAGTAATCTTTTGGAATTTAAGCTTTCGCTGTATTGGTATATAGTATCTTCCCAATCCGAAAAGATGAAGGGGGTATATAATTATTTACCTGGGTTTGTTCTTCCAAGAACCGAAATGAAGGATATGAAGTAGTGATATTATTAGATTCTGGATATTGATCTTGTTGAGTCTTGGAAAAAAATGAAAAAGATATGATCAGTTTTCTGATATTATTTCAAATTTACCATTCAAAATTTTTTTAGATCATATAGAATGAATATTCGGAGCATGCGTACATACGTACGCTCCGCTTCGTTCGAATAACCATATCATACAATCTGAAAAAAAAATTTTGGGAAGTCAATTTATCATCCTTGACGGTCAAAGACGTCAGCATAAAATTTAGAAGTTTTGGATTTGGCCAGCATTAACGTTAAAAAAGAAAAAAAATCAAATGCTATTATGGACCGGATCAGACGGATATTTTTGGAAGGTCCTGAAAATTAAGATAGGTATAAAAATTGATATCGATATCCGATCTGAATTCGAATCTGTAGAATTAAATGCATTGTGGCGCAGACAAAATTCTTTAAAGTTCATTGTTAATATTATATTAGAGCTTATATTAGGACAAATATATAGTAAAATCATTGAAGGAAGTACTGATGCAATTTCTTGTGCAGATTTTTAATTTCCAGATCGCACCCGATCTTGAACTCTGCGCCACAAAGTTTCAGGTGTGACGAACACTAATTGCTCCGTCTCAAAATACATTCACGAAATTTAAAGATGCAGTAGTCATGTTTATTTACTTACTTGATACTGTTGATAGATCAGAGGATCATAAGTTTCTTGATATAAGTCTTGTTGATATAAGTCTTGTTGATGTTGGCTTACTTGACATTCCTGATAAACGCCTCCTTCATATAGGTTTTGTTGGTTCTCTAAGAAAAGCTGGAAAAATAAGAAATCATATTATCAGTGTCTGATATCGTCTTTTGAAAAAAAAAACCGAAAACAATGGAAGATTCATATAATTATTTACTGTATTTACGGGACATCGTTCTTGACAGCTCTCCAAAAATGAAGTACGAGTATATAAAGAGTTCATATGATCAATTTTTTGGTAACGTACTTGAGATGGAGAATATGAAGAATCCAAGTATTTTAGGACTATAATAGGTTCAAATAAGTAAATTGTAGTCCTTTGTTTAACAGAAAGATGACATAAACTTAATAAAGGACTCTGGATATATATTTGTAGTGCTTTTCCTACTTGAACTATCAATTTGGTATGGAAAAGAACAGATTGAAGCAAAAAGGATAAAGGATTGTTAAATAATCTGTTTGTATCCATAAATATAACCCCCTTTCTAGCGTCTAAAATTTTCTTTTTCCTGGATTTTTGGAATATTTTGTATTTTCGCGAGCACAATGCACGACATAGCTAAATTTAATACTGTGTAATAACCGCCTGTCCAACTTCTACGAAAATGTAACATATAAATTTGCCAAAATCAACTATCGGGTGCGTGCGAAGTGTTAAGTGGGAATACATTCATTATCACATCATCCGGCGGTACGCGAAAGCCGATATGAACCCGCAGTTACACGGGCCAAATCTTATTTTTTTATTAAGCCAATTCGAGCAATTTTGTTCTTTTTTTTAATATTTAGTAGAAGTAACTTTAAAAGCAAGACGTCTTAAACTTTAATTTAAAATCGTGTAACCGAATACAAATTATTTGTCGGCTATTTCTTTTCTTTTTTTTGACATGGGCTTTTTTGACAGATTGCAACAAACATTATATCATTTTCCCATTTCACATTTTTTGATTATAGTTTTCATCTAAACTGGAGATGATGGTGAAATTAATTACACCATTTCCAAATCATGTGATAATTAATATCACATTAGTTTTTATCACTTAGTTTATTATGCTAAAACTGTGATACTAATTGTCATATGGTTTGAGCTGTTTCGAATAGTTCGGATGGCAACCACGTATTTAATACATCAATAGCGATAATATTTTATAGTATCATGGGATATAACATTAAAAGTTAGCCTGTAACCTGCAACGAAAGGCAATCCATATAACATGTGGTTCACTTTCACTACGTTTTGTTAATAATCTAGCTAAAAACCGAAACTCAATTTAATGTTTGGGGTTTATGTTTTTCATGCTTATCATACCACTGAGACTTATGCATTATGTAGTTCATAAAGTAGGATGAGTCAATAAAACTTTAAATAAAATTTACGGACTTATAGAATTAATTTAAAGAAAAAACAGTATCAGGTATATTGGCTAGGTGTTTAAGAGGGACAAAATTGCCAAATTTTTTTTTTTTTTTAAAAAAAAATTTTGACTAACCCAAAATTAGTCTAGAAACATTTTTACTTAAGGAATAAAGGCTGATATCTTAATAAAATTTTGTTGTATAATTCTTTAAAGTTTTTATTTCTTTTTATAATTTATTATAGAATTTATAATATTAAACCCAATTTTCTGCGAACCTTCTTTTTTTATTATCAATTTCATCCTTTTTCTCAGCACCAAGCCCATGTATTAAAATTAATTAATGATTGTAAATAATTTTTGTTTGCTATTAACTTCCCTAAGTTTTAGCGTTGGATATAATCAATTAATTATACCGTTACTTGTATATACATTAATCTTACCATTGAAGTACACCGATCGCATTATTCAGTTAAATAAACCTGCTTGAAAAAATAAAATATCTATAATATGTATACAAGCATCAATTAAAGATCAAAATGGAACAGTGTAACGTGTAAACTAAAAAAAAATCAGAAATGAAAAAAAAAACTAGAAATGAACTAACGTTAATCTGCTTTAGTACACTGGTAAAAAATCAGAAAAGATACTATAAATTCTAATTATTACAATTATGATTACGATGAATTTAAAAATTTTTTATATAAATCATTAGAATTAGAAACTTTCGTTCACCTGCAACTCAATCAATCATAAGTTAGGCCAATTTCTAATAATAATCCATAAAAAATTATTATAGTTGTATTTGATTATTACGTTTTGCAAAATTTTGACAATCTTATTTTACTATTTTAATCACATAATCTTGGAAATGTAAACTCAAAAAAGATAAAATTTTAAAGCATCACTATCCATTAACGTTATCCCGTTATCAGTTGTTATAGAAATAAACTATTCGACATTGTCACAATATATTCGGCATCCTCAACTGTATTTTATTATAGATATTTTATAATTTTTTTTTTTTTAAGAAAAAAAAAACCGACCGATTATTAATTAAAAAAATTTTTTAAGTTTTCAAATTTAACTTTTTTCGTCAAATTTAACTTTTTTTCGCTTAGGCAAGTCCAAGGTATTATTTGTTTATTTATTCAAGGGGTTGTGCTAAACCATTTTTGTACATTTTCGATATTCACGAGAATGATCCAATCTTGAAGCATAAGCCATATGTAAAAAATTAAATAAATGTGTATTAAGAAGTATTTCATTTAGGAAAGTAAAAAATATATGTTATCTTAGTTGGGTCCAAACAAAGATATGCATTTAGGATGGCCTTTCGTAGAACGTGGATCAGAGAACCAAAAATTTATGGGGATTGATTAATACGTGATGTGGTAACTATAATAGGATTTGGTGACCGAATTTCATAAATGTGCAGTAATATATTAATTTATTCCCAAAAAAAAAGTTCAGAACCTTACATCTTTATTTACCGTTACAGATCCGCTAATTTGTAAAAAAAACCGGGTCTAACTCTGGACAGACCCCAAACCAGATTAGTCACAAACTTAGATAAGTATGCATTTGACAATCAAATTAAATCCTTTTTAGGTCACAATGGGTGATCGGTGATTCCTCATGGTTTGAGTGGACATAACTTGAATTCTTAATACGAATGTTCTGCGATGCCCCTAACAGGAATCTATCTATCAAAGTGCTGATATTTAAATATTTTGTTATGTAAACAATCAATTATCTTAAATTAGTTGTCCTAGAACTTGAGACAAAACTAGGGGTGTGATCAAAATCCTCACATGGGTAACTATAAACACCACATGAAAATGACTAGTTTCATGTGTCAAATTCTGGAATTACAAATTAGTTCTGTGATTATTTAGCATCACGCCCCGTTGGGGTGTCCAATGTACACCCCAACGTCCCGTGTCCCATGTGATCATCCCCAAACAAATAGTTTTCAAGTTGGGACTTTGGTTTTTGTTCTATAATAGTATCACTATTTATTATCGCCAAATAATACAAACTTGTACGTACGCCCGTATGTGCAGAGCCAATTAAAAATGAGTTCAAAGCGTAGGTTTGGAACTCGAATGCACATGATATAATTCGAACTTAATTTTTGAACTGTTTTAAACTTGAACTTCTGTAGAACAGGACTTTATCATCTCTACTATACTTTTAGTCACACATCTTGTTTAGTCAAAGTAATTCAGTGAGGTTACCATATACTGTGCACGAGTTGTGGGTTAAACATAATTTTGACAACTAATCTAGATTAAGATGCATCGACCTAGTTTATATGTCTTGATCAAATAAAGTACGTTACTAATATGCAAATAGCACATTTCATAAAATTGGTGAAATTCAAACCTTGGAAGGTGTTTCTAATGCTTAATAATGGGCAAAGTGCATGCATTTTTTCATAGATTCATTTATGAAGAATTTTTACTCCATGATCTGAGTAACAAGTTGTGTGGCTAATTCCCTTTCATATGTTCGTGTGCGCGTACGTACGTACGAACTCGGATTGCTCTCTTTGATATTTCCTTTTAGACATTGGTACAAATGTTAATATCCCAATTGGCTTTGTGTTACTGATATATATGTTACCTAAAGAGATAAATTTTACATTCGAATAAACTCAATTAAGTAATTTTCCAAAAATAGGATAAATATTACACTTTCGCAGCGAAACGTCCAGAATTCTTTGTTTAAAGCAATTTTTCCGTTGTCTCCCCAAAACATTCATAAAAATCAAATACATAAAAAGGAATTTATAATAAAGTTTGAAACATATAAAAATACATAATTCATAAAGATAATAAAATTTTTGGATTTTACATTTGAAAGGTCATAAAGATAAAAAATATATATATAACATAATAACGAAATTTTAAATTGGATATAAGACAAAAATTGTTTGCAAACTGGGCATCATTTTCGTTCATTTCTCAAAGTCAGTGCTGGTTGATAACCTAAATTTATCGAAATATAAAAAATAAATACATTCATGCTATTTTCAGTTTCATTAATTGGTCAGTAAACATGCTGAATATCTATTGATTGTCGACACCTACTGAATTAAAATTTAGCAAGCCTGAGTAGCAAGCAATAACTAGGCACTTAACATGTTTGACAACCAAATAATAAACAGCATTATTTTCTTTAAAAGCAATAACAGCAGTAACATTACTAAGTTTATTCTATATTGATTTCACTTTTTACGAGTTTAATAATCCTTTGCAGGTTTGTGCACACTTACGAAATGTTATTAAACTTGTGTGAGTAAAAAAGAAAACATACACTTACTTATTGAAAGTGCTTTCATATAAGAGCAGCCTTTTTGGATCTTTTTATTCTTACTACAATATTGGCATGGTTCTTTTCCGATTTCACCTCCAACGCATCCTCTTCTCCGACTTCGGCAAGCATCACATGCAATTGGTTTTCTTTTTTTTTTCTTTTTAATCTCTAGGAATGAAGGATTTTGTAAAGATTCTAGAAACTTATGATAGTAATGAGCATCCTTTAGCTGAGTGTCTTTTTCATTAATAATAGCATTGGCAGCCTTAAGTTGAGTGTCTTTTTCATTAATGATAGCATTGGCAGCCTTAAGTTGAGTGTCTTTTTCATTAATGATAGCATTGGCAGCCTTAAGTTGAGTGTTTTTTTCATTAATAATAGCATTAACATCCTTAAGTTGAGATTCTTTTTCATTAATGACAGCATTGGTTTCATTAATGATATCATTGGCAGCCTTAAGTTGAGATTCTTTTTCATTAAGAAGGGAAATTAACATGGAAATAGTTTCCTGATTTCGTTCTTGGTTCTTTAAGAAAAATGAAAAAAATGAAGAGTTTATTTATAATCAGTTTTCTGATATCGTTCTTGATGGTTCTTTGAGAGAAAGGGTGAAATACACCGATACTGCACACATGATTTAATCCTGTCATATTCTAACTTTAAACTATTCCTAATGAAAGCCATGCTGTGTTGATAAGGTTATGTTGTGCACATGTAATTTTTCCATGTAATGTGTAAAGTACAAAAGTTCATTTGAATGGCGAAAATTAAGTTATATCATGTATTGGTCAGAATTAGAATTAACGTTAATTTTGTGATGCCAATTATTCTGCAGGCTGATGATTTTATGTGGTGATATCTACTGTGTATTTATTTATTTTTAAAAAAATAAAATAAATATTACCGCAGAAAACCATTAGTCCTCTTTTTGTGTTCATAAGCACATTAATGTTATGTCTACAGTTAATCTTTTGGAATTTAAGCACGTGAATATGGTATCTGTAGCTTTCGTTATATTGGTATACAGTATCTTTCCAAATCGAAAAGGTTGGGGTTATATAATTATTTACCTGGGTTTGTTCTTCCAAGAACCGAAATGGAGATGTCAGATTATCAGGTTCCCGTTGAAAAAATGAAGGATATGAAGTAGTGATATTATTAGATTCTGGATATTGATCTTGTTGAGTCTTGGAAAAAAATGAAAAGATATGATTAGTCTTCTGATATCATTAAATTTACCATCCAAAATTTTTTCAGATCATATAGAATGAGTATTCGGAGCATGCGTATACGTATGCTCCGCTTCGTTCCGAATAACCATATCATATAATCTGAAAAAAAAATTTTGAGTCAATTTATCATTCTTGATGGCCAAAGACATCAACATAAAAATTTAGAAGTTTTAGATTTGGCCAACATTAAAAAAGAAAAAAATCAAATGCCATAATTCAGGCATATCATGTATGGACTGGATCAGTCGGGTATTTTTGGAAGGTCCTACCCAATCCGAAAAGTAAGATAGGTATAAAATTTGAATTCGAATTCGTAGAATTAAATGCATTGTGGCGCAGACAAATTCTTTAAAGTTCATTGTTAATATTAGAGTTTATATTAGGACAAAATATATAGTAAAATCATTGAAGGAAACTTCTTATTAAAGTACTAAATGCGATTTCTTGTGCAGATTTTTAATTTTCCAGATTGCTCCCGATCTTGAACTCTGCGCCACAAAGTTTCAGGTGTGACGAACACTAATTGCTCAAAACTTCTCGTCTCAAATACATTCACGAAATTTAAGGATGCAGAAGTCATGTTTATTTCTTACTTGATACCCTTGATAAATCAAAGGACTATAAGTTCCTTGATATAAGCTTTGTTGATGTTGGCTTACTTGACATTCCTGATAAACGTCTCCCTCATATAGGTTTTGTAAGAAAAGCTGGAGGAATAAGAAATAACATTATCAGTGTCTGATATCGTCCTTTGAAAAAAAAACCCGAAAACAATGGAAGATTCATATAATTATTTACTGTATTTACGGGACATCGTTGTTGACAGCTCTCTGAAAATGGAGTACGAATATATGAAGAGTTTATATGATCAATTTTTTGGTAACGCACTTGAGATAGAGAATACGAAGAATCCATGTATTTTAGGTTAGAATAGGCTCAAATATGTAAATTGTAATCCTACTTGAACTATCAATTTGGTATGGAAAAGAACAGATTGGAGCAAAAGGGACGAAGGAATGTTAAATAATCCGTTTGTATCCATTGGATTCAATAAATATAACCCTTTTTCAGTGTCCGAATTTTTTTATTTTTAGATATTTTGTATTTCCGTAAGCACAATGCACCACATAGCTAAATATTGGCCTGTTTACTTTAACGCAAAAGGAGTTATAATATCGTATGTAACATAAATTTACCAAAAACAGAATCGGTGCGTGTAGAGTGTTAAGCGAGAATACATTCTTTATTACATCATCTGGCGGTACGCGAAAGCCGATATGAATCCGCACTAGATTGAACCGTTACACGGGGCCAAATTTTATTTGTTTTATTAAGCCAACTGTATTATTATTGTTGTTGGCATTTTAAATTGATTTTTATTTTATTTGTATGTTTATTTTGACAGATTTGTAACAAACGATTACCATTTTCGCATTTAAAATCAAAGAAATACGAATTTGGCTTTTTTTTTTTTGATTATCGTTCCCGTCTAAACTAGAGATGCTGGTGAAATTATTTTCACCTTTATTTTACCAATTTCACCAAATCATGTGATAGCAGTATCTTATGATGATTTCGATATAGGATGTAGCATAAAAGTCCCCAGTGTTACTAACAATCGAGGGCGCAGTCACATGATTTCCGACCTTCTGATTTTCCGGAAAATTGGGTTCGAACATACCAAATCCACACTTTTCGAACTCAAATATAAATTAAAATTTCATGCTCGTCATGTCCAGAGATCATTATAAAGTAGTAAGCTTCGATTTTAATTGAATTTATAGACAAATATGCATTTATGTACTTAATTAATAACTCGATAGAGGCTATAAAAGACTGTAGAGTTTAAAATATACTTACGATTTAAATAACGAAAAGGACAAGTCTTTCAAAATACAGTCCACTTTTGTTATAGTGAGCTCTTGATACGTATAATAGACGAGTTTTGTAAAGTATATTTAGTATTCTCTCAATATAAATAACAAAGAGGTTTTTCCAAGCTCTAAAAAAAAGGTTTCGTTAGACAAGTTTACTACATAAGCTATTCCCCTCTAGATCCTAACTTTGACCCTAACCCTAACCTTAATAAATTTTAAGAATTTGGTCTTCGCCGCCAACCTTGTACGAGAGACCATTGATGTTACACGACTGATCCTTCACCCGGTGTGCAACATATTTTACAATACCAGATCATTCCGCCAGTACATGTTATGATTATAATCCAACACTATTTTATTATAATAAAAATGGCGCTTGATTATAATCATAACATGTACTGGCGGGTGAAGGATCAGTCGTGTAACATCAACGGTCTCTGCATACTTTTTTTTTCGACATCTATCGCTATACTCAACGGTTACAAGAAGTGTTTCAATTTTTCAAATGGCTATAACTTTTTATTTAAGTTTTTTAAAAATCTGACCGGTAACTTTATAGAGCTGATGTAGCTCTATAAAGTTACCGGTCAGATTTTTTAAAAACTTCTTAGATAAAAAGTTATAGCCATTTGAAAAATTGAAACACTTCGTGTAACTGTTGAGTGTAGATGTCTTGCACCATATGTATATAAAAGTAAATTCCTATCAACCCATTGATGTACCAAAAAATAAAGATTTAAGTGCGTGAGAGTGAAAACCTGCATACTAATCATAGTAAATCACTAAATCGGTTTTCGGGTTTTCTCTTCTCACGCACTTATTAGAAAATGACATAATTGTAAAACGTTACAATGATTGTCTGTCAAGTTAAAAAAACAATAACAACCAATTAACGGACCTAAAGTACTTAAAGATAAGTTTGTCCATTTTGTACATACGTATTACAATAAAAAAGCTCCAAGAAGTCAGCAATAGGGATGTTAAGTAGTCTGACCAGTGGTCAGAATTTATAATGTAGTGACTAGCTTGTTAAACTAGTTAGTTCTATTGATATATCACGTTTTTAACCAGATGGTTAAACTACTTAACATCCCTAGTCAGCAATAATAAAATTAATATAAAAAAGCTCGAATTTAGCCATGGCTGGTGTAACTATCGGTTTTCTCATGCCGTCAGTTTTTCATCTAATCGATGAATTACCGCTTAACACTCCACATGTTCCGACAACTATTGTTGGTATATTGTTTATGTTACACTCCGATAAAAATATTGAAGCAAGGATTTACTGCAATGCAATATGTTCTTTAGTAGCGGAACGGTGGTTCACGGACTAAATGTCACGCTTGTGTTACATGTCGCTTAACATTTGCATTATCGTTATCAACCCATGATTCTCTTCGTTACAAACTTAGACTGGCAGTTACTTACAGTATAAAATTTTAGCCATGTGTACATTATGCCCCCGTGACGCGGTAAAATTACAGAGAAAAACAGTTTGCCTATTATTACAAAAATAAATAAAAAAAAAACCTTGGAAAGGGGTTATTTATTGAATATAATGTACATGTACATAATCTGGTTATGTCACATTTCCTTATCACTTTTGCCCTAAGGCATATAAATTTAATATCTCTGTTTTCCCTAACATGAAGCTTTTAAATAGGCCCAGTCGACCAGCTTTTTTTTCTTAAATATCATATATAAAAATTTTTTTTCTGAAAACCGATCCGGTTATAAAAACATACAATTTTCCAAAACTTGACCCGGCCAGGTTATGAAAACCGCATTGTCTAATATATAATCTGTTTTTTTATACCAAATCGATAATCCAGAGTCTGTTATAAATTTATGTAATCTTTTTGTTAAACAAAGGAATTACGATTAACTTCTTTAACCTTATTATATTCCTTAGAATTTTCTTAGAATACATGGATTCTTCACCGTTTCAAGAGCGTTGCCAAGAAACCAATCATATGAGCTCTTCATATTCATTTTTAAACTTCCAAGAACAATATCCAGTAAATAATCATATAAAATCTCTCAAAGATTGATATTGGGTACTTATAACCTCCCCTTTTTCAGGTTTTCTTGGAGAACCAACAAGACCTACATGAGGGTGAAGCAGCAAGATGCGCAGAAGGAGCCTATCAAGAAGAAAACCAACTCCAACAGGACCCATACCAGGGAATTTATGGTCTTTCAGAGATTTATCAAGTACATCAAGTAAGTAAATAAACATGACCACTACATCTTTTCGGTTTGTTGATATCAATATACTATGTCGATCAAATCCTATTTTCGGATTGGATACTGGTTTCGCGATTTTATGGGGATTAGAGGCCTGCACGGGCCGGGCCGAAATTTGAAAACTTTAAAAACCTCACAAAATTGCGGGCCTGGTGTGTTAAAAACGTAGTAAATTGCGCAAGGCTCTAATGGGATTTTCAAATCTTATAAATAAAATTTTGATCTGAGCACTATGTGTAAATTATAACATTTACTGGCCAAATTCAAAAATTTTTTAACTGTATCAGAAACTGATTATATGAACTCTTCACATTTTTTCAGTTGCCCCCAGAGGTCAAACAAGTGATTTCTTCACCTCAATTCTCGGAAGAGCCAACCTGGTTAACTTCTCAACTTCTTCCGGAGAACCGACAAAATAAATATCTGGAACCTGGTAATATGACCTTTTCATCTCAGTTCTCAGAACAACAAATCCAGGTGAATAGTCATATAACCCTTCATCTTTTCGGCTTGGGAAGATATACCGATATAGTGAAAGCTACAGATATTACACAACATAGATGTGCTTATGTATACAACAGAGCTGATGATTTTCTGCGGTAATATTTATTTTTAAAATATAAATAAATACCACCGCATAAAATTATCGGCTGCACAATGATTGGCGTAACAAATAAACGTTAACTATGATTCTGTAATGTTGTGTAAGTTTCGGTAAATTAGAATTTCATACGTATAATTGTAACTTTGAACACAATAATTTAATTTTTCGCTATTCAAGTGCCGTGATGGTAGAGCCACAGTATGGATAGTTAAACGACTAATACTAATAAAACTTCTATACTTTACCGGTACTGCTCACTTTGTAGACAATCACTTCACAGATATCTTAGTTCACAGATAATCAATTCACAAACAAGCTTACTTTACAGACAGTTTATTTCATCAACAATTCATTTTTATAAACAAGTTCATCTTATCGATAGCTCATTTCATCGACAAAGATAAACTACTAAGATTAGGGTTAGAATTAAGTTAGAGCTTATAAGAAATTAAATTGACAGTGGAAAGAGCTGTTGATGAAATAAATTGTCTGTAAAATAAGCTTGTCTATGAATTATGAATTCGTTGTCTGTAAAATAAGCTTGTCTATGAATTATGAATTCACTGTCTATAAAATAAACTGATTGTCGGCGAAGAAGTAGAATCGAATCGTATTTTACACATCACATGAGAAACTAATTTACCGTTACGTAAAAATTTTCTCTTAAATCCATCACAACACATGATCTTATGTGCACAAGACGGCATGCATTAACTTTATCGACACAGCATGACATTTAGGATCGGTATTAGAATTAGAATACGGCAGGATTAGGTCATGAGTGTAACGTGTTGGTGTATTTCCCCCTTCTCCCAAAGAATCATCAAGAATGATATCAGAAAACTAATCATATGGCCTCTTCATTTTTTTTTCAGGTTTACTTAAAAACTCAAGAACTAAGTCTGGAAATTGCCAACCTCATTTCTCAGCTTAGGGATGTCAAGGCTCAGCTTAGGGATGTCAATGCTCAGCTTAGGGATTCCAATGCCCTCATTGCTTTCTTCCGAAAATTATTTGGCAGCAAGTTCTCTTTTTACTATAACAGATTTCTAAAATGCTCCCAAAACTCTTTATCGTTCCTAGGAAGAAAAAGAAAAAAAATTGCATGTGGTGTTTGCAAAAGCCGGAGAAAAAGATGCGATGGAGGTAAAATCGGTGAGAAACCGTGCGAGCATTGTAGCATGAATGGAAAAGAATGCTCTTATGTAAATCACCTTCGATAAGTAAGTATATATATTTCTTTCATCCAAAAAATTATAGTAGCAAATTTTCTTAGATGGTAGGTTTTTACAGTTTTAATAACCCTTCGCAAGTGTGCACAAATTTGTAAAGGGTTATTAAATTCGTAAGAATTTATGTCAATGTCGAAATTTATTGACGATAATAAATTCGCTACTGTTGCTTCTAAAGAAAAGAAAACTGGTTTGCTATTTGGTTGCTAAACATGTTAAGTGCCTAGTTATTGTTAACTACTCAAGCTTGCTGAATGCTAATTCAGCAAGCATCGACAACAATCAGTAGAAATTTAGCATGTTCACTAACAAATTAATGAAACCGAAGATAACATGAATGTATATTTATTTTCTATACTTTGATGAAATTTAGACCATAAATCAACAATTAAGGCTTATTTTTCTGACTTTTGAGAAAATATCTTCTAGTTTGCAAAAATTTGTCATTTAAATTTTTTTATATTTATAACCTTTTCAATACATATTTTTATGAACCATATATTTTATATATTTTCGGACTTTCAATACGGATTCTTTTTTAAATACTTGATTTTTAACAAGCATGAATGTTTTGGGGGACAACAGAAACATTACTTTTAATAAAGGATTCTGAACATTTCTCCGCGAATGTGTAATATTAATCTATTTTGGAAATTTACTTAATGAAGTTATTTGTAAATGTAAAACTTATCTATTTGGGCACATATGCATCAGTGATACAATGTCAATTACGTAGAATATTTATATCTATACTAACACCTAAAAGGAAATATCAAATTTTTGATCATTTACTGTATGTGCGAAAATGAAAATTAAAAGTTACATAATTTATTACTCAGATCATGAAGGCAAAATTTATTTACAGTAAAACCTCCGTAAGTGCACGCTCTTGGGACCGAACTTTAACGACGTGCACTTAGAGGGCAAAATAAAACGTGCATTTATGAAGACCATGTATATGTTTTGGTCTGAAATTAGAGAGGGTGTACACTTCTTATAGTAGACATATGTTAGTGCCATAACTGACTTTAACGTCAATTGAGTAACTCAAAGCCATAACCAACGTTTGCCATAACATCTGACGTGTGCCGTAACATTTGATTCATGCTGTCATATTTGACTTATGCCATAACATTTGGTAAAAATTTACAAAGTGATTTTTCGACTGTGTTCCAGAATTATATAAACGGCCATAAAAAACTTGCTGGACGTAACTATTATTTATTGCCGGAACTTTTTATATTGCTGTAACTAGGTTATGGCTAGAGATGTAATCTCGCGCGAAATGCTGATGTCATAGTAAATTATTTATATTATCTCGCGCAAGAATCAGTCAGGACGTGACAACATGTCACTTAGACGTAACCATACGTCTTAACATATATCAACCATTGCGTTCTACGTCAACTGTTGCGTCCTACGTCGTTATAGCACTTTTGACGTGAAGACACATCAATTGGACGTAACTATACGTCTTCAAATGTTTGCATCTATAGCACTTATAGAGGGTGCATTTATGGAGGTTTCGTTGTATAAATTTGTGGAAAATGTCTTCCGACCTTATTTGGTAAAGAGAACCTGTAATTTTTAGTTAGAAAATGCATTTTGCCCATTCTTTAGCACTCTCACGCACTTATGTAATCATAAACCTGATAATGCAAAAAATTTAAAAAAATCAAAAAACAGCTATTTAAAATAAATTTATTTTACAAAAATATTTTTTATCAGGTTTCATTATAATCTACTACATATTCCAATTTTGTTTTTAATATCAGAATCATTTTCAAATCTTGATTGGAGTTAGTATGAGTGAAAATGTATATTTAGTAGAGATGTAAACAGCTCGGTTTAGTCTGCTTTCGAGTCGATTAGAGTCATGTTTAAAGTCGACTCCAAGTCGTTCGCTAATATCACATGAAATTTGAATAAATATAGCAATCTGAGTGCAGATCGTCAGGTGAGGTGCGTAACGTCATCTGACGAAAGAGTAAAATAAATTAAAGAACCTTTTACTTGGAACTTTTTTATTCTCGGTTTCTTGGTTCTCTTCGCCGTTTTCTCACTGGTAGCATTCTTTACTTAAATCATTTTTGTGCCTTAACTCCAGTAGTATTCTATATTTTGAATCACTTTGGAATCGTCTTACCTTCAATAGCTGTGGTAATTTACAACCAACAGTAACATTCTTTTACATTTAGTCTATCTCTTCAGCACTTCCGTTCTTTTTGACGTTCAGTCTTCAATAATTTTTATACATATAATTTTTTTTGTGCTTATTGACCGATTGATAGGTTACGCGTCAGCTGTGATCTGAGGCACGCGTTAGTTTGAGGCACAACATATATATTTGTTACTGAAAAAATTCTTTTTTAACACATTCTTTTTTAACGACCTTTCTTATGACTGAAATTTGTTACATAAATCGCGTAAGCCAGTGTTTTTTATTTATTTTTATTTTTTTTGAAAGTTTGTATTCAATATGACATCTTATCTTCGGTTGAGTTTGAAAGATTATCCATCAAAGAGTTAATAAAAATAGGCTTCGAAGAAGTTGAAAAAGATCCAGACAATATGAAATGCGTACATACCGGGTGAGTTTTCTCATAGAGTACTTGCCGAGTTATAATGTATCCGAAGTTACGCTGCCACATCAGTGCAATGAAATCTGGTAGAGAATTGAAAGCTCTTCGTGGCCAACTGCTTTAACAGTTGAACGTTCTTCTCTATCAGTTATTGATGTTCCTGTAGAAAAATGGGGCCTTTCTGCGTTAGAAAGGTTGCTGCTAGGAAGTTGGCGAATAGGATACATTCTAATATAGAAGCACTAACCGTTGACTATTCCGGCGTGATTCTTTATTTAGTTAATAATTATGACACAATACTCACTTTTATTCTTTCAATTAATAGCCGACCTGGTGATGGAAGGATCGATGCTATCTGCATGGTCAGGAACTATTCCAATGTAAGAATTAAAACTATTGGGAATTATATAAAATATTGAATATTTATTGAGCTAAACAATAAAGTATTACAGTCTACCCTCGTTTATATCAACCCATTTGGATTGGTTTTAAATTATGTTGATAGTGATATTAACGAGAAATTATATTAAAGTTGATATATATGAGGGAATTTTGATATATAAAAATTTATAAAAATTTGATTTGTGGCTTAGGTTGATATTAACGAGGTTGATACTAATGGGGGTCGACTGTACTAAATAAAATTAATTTTAGATTCCTCAGTCGTCCAACTATACGATAACGTAGTTGGACGATATATTCGTAAACATGGAGGAGTCGCTATTGGTATTGTAGTGGATCCTGCTATGGACAGGTTCGCAGCCAGTGCATTTAAAGCAGCCGAAGCTGAAGAGTTGAGAATGCTGTCCTCTTGTCAAGTATAACGATATAACGATTTACGTTTATATATCCTCAATATAGCTGTTAACAGTTTATATGAGGAGCCTCTTACCTATTTTCATTTATCATATTCTAATGGCAAGAGGATAACATTCTAAGTTTTTTTGTATTTCTGTTTTCTTGTGTACAAACTTTTTTTTTACGTTCTTTCTTTAATAATAAAGTGTGGTATAATAAATTTGGTTCTGGTGATTGATATTACATATATACTGTAATTGTGTTTATTTTTGCATATATATTTCATGAATTTATTTTATTGTATTGCATATGATGGGTCAGAGATCCGAAGCTTTGCTTCTCGAGAATATTTTTTGTATATTTTTTGACCAAGGCGCCCCGGCTAAAATTTTGTCATCTTTATTTTTGCAAATTTACACAATCGTGTAAAAATAAAAAATGACGAGGTCACCAACAATATACAAATAAAAATATTGGATTTATTTTTGGAATCTATTATGTTTTAACAATGAAATTTGCTTCAAAGTTACAGTACCGATTATCTTTTTTCCATCTTGTATTTCTTCACGTTTTTCTAAATTAAATAAAATAAAAATATTAATTCAGTGCTGTCCCAGATTAATATAATTAACTGTTTTTTTTATTATACGTTTTATCCTCAACAATAGTTGAAATGAATTGTCGGCGTGGCAAACCAAAACATAATTATTTAATATAAAGTTTTCTTACTAGTTAAAGTAATTTCCACAGGTTTTGGTTTTGGCTTTGGTTTAGATAGTGTTGGGGGTTGTTAGGATAGTTAATATTGAGGGTAATATCATTAGTCTTGGGGTGGTAACATTGGTCTTAGGGTGGTAGCATGGTTAAAAATCCATTTATGTTAATAAAACTCAATTTATGGTTCATTGTTGGTCAATGATCCTTGTTTTTTATTCTAAAAAAACACTTCTAAAATATTTATTTTTGAACTATATAATTATAAATTATGCAATCGGATCATAATTACATCATGTATTAAACCATTTTTTAATGGATTAACATGATTTTTAAGATCACGTTTCGTATTATTTAGCAATAGTTCAATAGCGACTGTACTATTATTGAACACAAAAACCAAAGTTCCAAATTAAAAACTAACTGTTTAGCATCGCCCAAAAAATCAGTTACGTACCGGATTTAAAATTAAACATCAATAAATATATATCAATATATATTCAATGAAGCAATTTACAAATTGCATTTTAATTTATTTTCGCTATATAAGGAAGAGTCGGGTATTCTGGCGCAGGAGGTAATGTGGCGCACTGAAGTTTTTATAAAGTATCTCGTAATACAATAATTGGAAACGAACGATTTTAGCATCATTCAATTTGCCTTATCAAGCCGAATCGAATGGTGTCATATTAGCTGCTAGATATAAGCAACGTTAATAAAAAAAAATTAAAAAAACACCAGAAATTAACAAATGTGTATTTGGCACGCCCGCATGTCTTTTGATGATCTGGCCTAATTAAGTAATTTATTAATTAAAATAACAGGAGGATCTGTTAATGTTATACCAAGTGAGGAATTATATCCGAAGTTACATATAAATAATTTCAGTTTAAAGGTAGAGGGTAATATATTGAAATTATATATAAACTTAATGGTAAAATTTTTTTATATTTAATTTTATAAAAAATTATATTAAGTAAACTAATACTAATTTATAAGAAAAATTTGTATAGCAGGTCTTTCTGATTTTAATGATAGTAAAATTATTAAATTTGATTAAAAACTCAGTAAGATATAACTTTTTAAAG